TAAACAGTTGTGACAAACACAAAGTAATGTAACTTTACCATGACTTTGTCCTGTAAGTGAAAGTTACTATTAGTTTAATAATAATCACAGTGTAAAATGTCTGACATTACATTATAACCTCAACAGTATTATTTCTGTGGGTTTTTTTGCACATTCATGTCTGCAGTGCTTTGAGCAATTGTTACTATTTGGAGAAACAATTCAAATAAAGGTTATTTATACTGTATATTGTGTGATGTTTTATTAAGTGTATATGCTGTGTCTGGTTTTGAGACAGAAACACTATTATTAATTCTTGAAATCAGAATAATCATCTTGTTTAGTTGATCTTGTTTTAACATGAATTCTCTCAAAGTGAGAAAGAAATAACACTGAAAGAAGCTTTGACAAGTTAGTTTTGAGTTTATTTGACTTAATAAAGTACTTGGAATAAGTGTTTAATCACTAGTTTTAATGTATTTCTCACTTGTCTAAAGCCTAGATATTTTTTCTTATTTCAGGAAATCTTACCAAGTGTAATTATCTTACTGCACTGGCAGATTATTTCACTTGATTATAGTGTGAATCTCCTAAGAATAAGTATTTTTTTCCTTATAATTAGCTGTTTTTTGCAGTGTACTATCTAACAACTTTGCCTGTATTCATTAAAAAAGTATTTTATGAGTGGAAGGATAATCATTGTGTATATGTGTCAGGTCAGCAACATTATAGGCATAAAGGCTAACAGAAAAATAATGATACAAATTATTTCCTTACCAGTTCCTGCATCTTCTTCCTGTCCTCAAGCTGATCCTCTAAAAAGTTAACCTCTTCCAATGATGTCAATGGTAGGCTGATGTCCTCTGGCAAAGTCATTCCCATCTGGTTTGTTTTAGATAAGTTCATGACCATTTTTTTCAGTATCATCATCTCCTCCTTAATAGTCTCTAAGGTGGAGACAATATACCGATCTCGAGCTGTGACAGACAGATATCCTTGTTTAGTTTTTTTAAATGAGAAAAGCAAGTAAGACATTTAACATAAACTACTGTCTATTGATGAACAAATTAATTATTTAATTCTGGCCTGATCATTCATGTTGGCTGACATTTTAAATTTAACACAAAGAGGTTGAAATAAGTGCGTGGTATGCAAGTATTATGACATGCACATGGTAAACCTTTAAAATGTATGCCTGTTTTAGTCTTAATAGCCAAATTCACAACTAGTCTACACATCATGTAACAAAATTGGACATATAACACATAGTACTACTGTTTTTGCTAGCATCATTATTATTGTTGTTGTTAGGGTTATTGTACAATAACAATATATCCACTTCTTGTGCATTATGGTATTGGATTACTTTGTAACAAACCATTTCAAACCATACCTGTAATGAGCTGAGGTTGAATGGTTGAATAACGTTGACTGTTCTGTGACACTGCTGTCACAGAACTCATTGGTAGCTCATTTACTGCTGGCTGTGGAGACTCAACATGCAGCAGTAGGAGAAGGAGATTGTTCAGAAGAGGATGAAGTGTGTTCGGGGGTAGAGGTCAATACTGGACGAGGAGGAGGTTTGGGTAGGGATGGACATCTTTTTTTTACAGCTACACCAGCGCAGCCATGGCCCAGCTCCTCCAATCTCTTGTTTGGTCTATTGAAAAAAATGTGTATAATATAATTATAAATAGGGCTGTGCCAAATGAAGATGTATATTATGTGACAACAGAAAAATGCTAAGTGTTTTATGAAATATTCTGCCATTTATTACATTGTGTTTCAAATCAGTTAGTGGTAATGCATTTAAGCTATTTGATACATTTGAATGACACACTAGACAAAACTTAACAAGACATAAGTCCATCCAAGTGATAATTTTACATAAACTATGCTTTGAACCTACAGCAAATGTGCAATATCATGATATGTATCAATGAGATATGAAATGACCTAAAATGTTACATGAGAGTTTGGACATGTCACACAGCCATAAT